CTACCTGTATGGTATTTCTCAGACAGAATTCTTTTATTAATGTAAATATGAAGAGAAATACTTGATAACACATTTTGACACAATAATTATATACTTATAATTAATTAAAACTTTTTTATATTTATAGAATCAAGGTTTTGTGAACTACTATGGACCTCAGAGGTTTGGGAAGGGAAGGAAAGTTCATACAGACCAAATTGGATTGGCTTTGCTGAAGAGTGAAATGGTATGGATTTATACATAGACTTTTCTCTGTTTGTCTGTCATGTTTGTTTCATAACATCCTCCTTGTCTCAGTACCTGCATATAAGTCATGTGTACACACATAAAACATGGATATTATCTCACTGAACACTTACTGACCAGCTATTAAATGTTTCATAGCACATTACCAGAAAGCAAACTGATTGAGCTGTGTGTTCTTGTGTTTTAATACTTACTTGAGAGAAAATATGATTAGACTGTTAATGCTCTGGTTTTTGAAATTCAAGAGGCGAATTTTTAGCCTAATGCAAGAAATGCTTTTCTAAAGATTGTCCAAAGTAGACTTCTTTCCACAAAGAAATGAAGTTTCCTTTTTCTGATAGCTTTTAAGCAAAAGCTGAATTACTACCTACCCTCCTCTTTAAGCTTCATTTTCTAGCCACTGGAATTTTTTTAACTTTGGATGATATTACATATCTATTACTTCATAAGGAATTACCTCCAGACGTAATGGCTTGAAACAACATACGTTTATTTTCTCATGTGGCATAGCTGCAGGTTTTGACTCAGGATCTCTCCAGAGGTTGCAGCCTCTGAAGATTGGGCTGGGGCTAGAGCATCTTTAGTGTATTTAGACTTTATTCAGAGAGTTACTCATAACAGGACTTTCTCCACAGAGAAGAGTCCAAGAGTGCAAGAAAGTGAGAGAGAAAAAACAAAACAGATACTAGAGTGTCTTTATAACCTACTCTTGAAAGTGACATATTTTCACTTCTGTCATAGTCTGTTGGTCACACAAACCAACCCTGTAACAGTGTGGGAAAGGTCTACACAAAGGCTTGAATACCAGAAGGTAGAGATCATGGGCAATTGTAGAGGCTGGCTCCTGCAGTTAGAAAGCTGTGCTATCTATTTTGCTTGAAGCATCCCCTACCCCCAAACTTTATATTTTTTATGTCTCAATTTAAATATTATTCTCACCTAACTCCCCAAGACAAAGTGAATTCTACTTATTCTGGGACCTGGCAGCATTCTGGACTTCTCATCTGAAGTTTTATTAACATTTTATTATTATTGTTTATTTAATCTTTTCCAGTAGACAGTAAGCATTGATAAGGGTAGGGACCATAGCTCACCTGCTTAATCCTTGGTCCCTAGCATCCAGTACTATAGATAACACATGGAGATGCTTAATTATATTTGTTTGAATGAATCAGCTCCTTAGCAAGTATTTATTGAATGAATGAATGCTGTAAAAGTAGATTGAGTGGGTTATTGGGTTAATTGACCTTTTTAAAGATTTTATTCTAAGGCATGTAATTTGAAATAAATCCCAGTGATTAAGTCTGGGAAATAGACATGTTGGTGGTGGTAGTGGTGTGCTGTAGAGTCGGTTCTGACTCATAGTGACCCTGTATAGGGTTTCCGAGACTGTAAATCTTTACTTGAGCAGAAAGCCTCATCCTTCTCCTATGGAACAGCTGGAATAGCTTCGAACTGCTGACCTTGAGGTTAGCAGCCTGACTCGTAACCACTACGTTACCAGAGCTCCTTGGAAATAGGCATGTTGTTGTTGTTAAGTGCCGTCCAGTTGAATCCAACCCATAGCGACCCTGTATAGGGTTTCCGAGGAGCAGCATAGATACCATTAAAAAACCTTTTTTTTAAAAAAGAAAACAGTTTTTCATCTATTTATGATTCAAAAATAAAAATTAAAGTTGGCGATCATTTTTTGAGACCGAAGAATTCAGGGAATTGAAACCACAAATGACATTTTAATGGCCTGTCTATGTTTATTTCTTCACACATTTTTGTTATCTGTGTTAGTTACATCAATATATACATATGCATGGGAGTATATATGACTATTTGCACTTTGTATGCTCAATATGGAGTCCTGGTGTGGTGCTGTGGGTTAATGCGCTGGATTGCAAAGTCAGTTTGAACCTCAAGGTCAGTGGTTCAAACTCACCAGCTGCTCCTTGAAAACCCTATACAGGGTCGCTGTGGGTCAGAACTGAATTGACGGCACTTAACAACAACAACATGCTCAGTTTAAGTATAGGTAAGGAATGAATGAACTGTGGAATTATGGCATGGAGGGAAGACATAGTATTTTAAACCTATGGATAAAGTTGTTTTGTTTTATAAATTTATAAATTTAACATTGAATATTTGTTTTTTGAAAGCCTAAAGATACAATTGCAGCATCAAATATTTTTTAAAAGTTTGCTGTGTTATGATACCAGGAAATTTGGATATTTATAAAAAAGTAAGCAATTTGTTATTTCCATTCACACATGTTTGCTTCCTTGGTTTTTAAAGGTGAAGGCTATAAAATTATTTTTTACACCAGAAGACTTGGATGATCCTGTAAATAGAGCAAAGAAATATTTTCTTCAAACTGGTATTTATTCGTTTTTTTACCTCACATATCCATGTAGATGCATATTATAAATGTTTTGTCAGCAGGAGGCCATTCATTGTAGCATAAGTATAATAAGTAGATTGTGGCCCATTGTACATTTAATAATTCTATTACGTGTCCAAGGCAGTCCATTTTTTGCCATACCACAGGGACTGTTTCCTGGTCTAACTCTAGCTCCAGTGACTGTGCCCGTCATCAGTAGCTTAGAGGTAGGGCTGAGGGAGAAAAAACTTCTTATTCTTGTTCTAAATCCTGTGAAGAAATGTTATTGTTAGATGCCACAATTTGACTTAGATTCACAGTGACCCCATATGAGTAGAACTAAACAATACAGTTTTAAAGATGCTAATAATCTTTATGGGAACCGATTGCCAGTTCTTTCTTCCACAAAGTCCTGGTGAGTTAGTAGCTGAAACTTGCTCTACCATGGCGATTCAAAATGCCGTTAAGTGCAGTCGAGTCAGTTCCAACTCCTAGCAATAGTGTGTATAGGGTTTCCGAGGAGCAGCTGGTGAGCTTGAACCAGTAACCTTGAGGTTTATAAACCAACTGACTTTGCAACCCAGTACATTAACCCTTAGGCACCACATCAGGACTTCTCTTAAAGGGCACCAAATTCTATATTGCTACTGATAGCAGTATGATTCACTATGATGAAACGTAAATTAAACAAAAGATCATTTGTGATTTTCAGTGTTCATGAATTGTTTCCCATTCCTTTTCCATTTAGCCCTAACTATCAATTCTGAAGCCATCTTTCATTGTAAAGGTTTATATACATAGTGGAAAGCACTAGAACAAGTGGGTATGAGTCTGGGCTCTAGAGTCAGACTGCCTGGGTTTATTGTTAAACTTGAGCTTTTCCCAACTGTATGGTGTCCTGTAAATAATCTGACCTCATTGTATTCATTTCTGAATCTGTAACTGTAAATTGAGGCTAATAATGGCACCAAAAAGCTTGTTAAAGAAGTCCGGGTGGTGCAGTGGTTGAGCACTTGACTGCTAAACAAAAGGTGGGTGGTTCAAATCTACTAGCTGATTCACAGGAGAAAGTTGTAGCAGTTGGTTCATATAAAAGCTACAGTTTAGAAAATCCCGTGGCGCCGTTCTACTCTGTGCTGTGAGGCCAATATGAGTTGGAATTGACTCTGGCATTTTGCAACAACAACAACAAGATTATTATGAGATTTATAGCGGTAATCGGTATATTGCTCTGTTGTTGTTGTTGTTAAGTGCCGTTGAGTCGCTTCTGACCCATAGCAACCCTGAACAGGGTTTCTGAGGCTGCAGATATTTACAGTGGCAGAAAGCCTCATCTTTCTCCCGCAGAGCAGCTGGTAGTTTTGAACTCCTGACCCTGCGTTTCACAGCCTGATTTGTAACCACTATACTACTACTGCAAATCCTATATAAAATTGTTTTTGCTGTTAAGTGCCATCCAGTTGGTTCTGACCCATAGAGACCCTGTATAAAGTTTCTGAGGAGCAGCAGGTGAGCTTGAACGACTGACCTTGTGGTTCAAACCAACTTTGCAGTCCAGTGCATTAACCAGGACTCAAACAAAATTGAATAATAGTAACAACAATCATATCATTTCAGGCTTATTCAAGACATTGCTGTATCTAATCCACGTACATTGAAATACAGGACATCAGTGTTGAGATATCTACAGTCATTTTTAATTATGCACATATTAAATACATATCATTATCAGGTGATTTATTTGCTTTCATCGATTGTAGAGTCTCCAGAAGCTAATTTTCTTATGTCAGTGATTCTTTATTATATATAAGAAAAACTTAGTAAATTTACTATAAAGCTGGCTCCAAGGCCCTTCCTGAATAAACATTTTTGCAGTGGAGTCTGGTAATTTGTATTGTAAAAATGAATACATTCTTGTTGTTAAGTGCCATGGAGTTAGTTCTGACTCATGACCACCCTGTATAGGATTCCCAAGGACCGGCTGGTTAGTTTGAACCGCTGACCGTGTGGTTCAAACTGACTTTGTGGTCCAGTGCTTTTGTCGGTAGGGTGAAACAAGATCTAAATCTGAAGGATCTAGATCTCAAACCTTTCTTATTAAAAAAATTCCATCTGTACTCTGTTCATGTTTGTGGTATTATGAGGTGCCCTTGAGTTCATTTTAACTCATAGCAACTTCACATGCAAAATAAAACTGCCCCATAGGGTTTTCTTCGCTGTAATCTTTGTGGAAGCAGAGTATCAAGTCATTCTCCTGGGTGGGTTTGAACCCGTGGTCTTTTGGTTAGTAGCCAAACACTTGAGCACTGCAACATCAAGGTTCCTTTATAAAAATCCATAAAAACTCTATAAAAACCCATAAAAATACTATCAAAATCTCTAGTTCTTATAAAAAAAATACGGGGTTTCCGAGACTAAATCTTTATGGGACCTGACAGCCTTGTCTTCTCCTAGAGAGCAGCTGGTGTGTTTGAACTACCAACCTTAGGTTAGCCCACAGCACCACTAGGACTTCTTCACCCTTGGCTGTTGCTCTTGGTTCCAACTCATAGTGACAAGTCAGTTCCAACTCATAGTGACCCTATATAGGGTTTCCAAGGTGTGGCTGGTGAGCTTGAACCACCGACCTTGCAATTCCAATCTATCTTGCAGTCCAGTGCATTAACCCACAGTGCCACACCAGGTCTTCTTCACCGTAAGCTAATGGGGTAGAAACAATCTGTTTCATCCTTGTGTGCATTTTTTTTAATATCATAATTTATTAGTGTAGTGGTTACAAATCGGGCGGCTAACCTCAGGGTCAGCAGTTCGAAACTACCAGCTGTTCTGCGGGAGAAAGATGAGGCTTTCTGCTCCTGTAAAGATGTACAACCTTGGAAACCCTGTACAGGGTCACTATGAGTTGGAACCGACTCCACGGCACATCACCACCACCACCATGGTAGAGTAAGTAACACTGCAAGCCAAAGGAGGGCCATAAGTGTAATGAAAACACACACAAACCACCATAACATCCCCACCCCACCCCAAACAAACAAACAGACAAAACATTCTTCAAGTCTAGTAGCTATGCTTAACTGTTGGCTGAGTCTGAGCATTATCTTCAAGTTCATGTGCACATTTAGATTGCTGAACAAAGGTTTTTAAAGCTGATTTTCTCTTAATTTTAGAGGATGCTAAAGGCACACACTCACTGATGCCTGATTTCAAAGTCCGGGAGAGAAGCGTGTTGGAGTCATTGCATCGCTTTGGCATAACAGAGGAAGGCTGTATCCAGGCGTGGTTCTCTTTTCCCCATTCTATGCGCATATTCTACATTCATGCATATAGCAGCAAAATTTGGAATGAGGCAGTATCTTACAGACTTGCAACCTATGGGTTAAGAGTTGTAGAGGGCGATTTGGTCTGCTTGACTGGGAATGTCGACGATGAGCATTTCCCAAATAGTAAAGTAAGTGTGACTTCATCAAAGTTTTCCAAAAGTAATTCCCACACCTGAAACATTAAATTTTAGAAACCCTTACTTCAGAAACAATGACAAGCTAACGATATGTTTGTTTGCTTGTTTTTTACTTATATTTTCCTCTCTCCTGTTTCTATTCTGCTATGTGCTTCTATTTTGCTCAGCACATGTCAGCAAGTGAAAAATTAAAAATAATCAGTGGACTGTTTACATAAATTACATGTCTTTAAAAGTAATACACCAAAGAGTCCCATTAAAAGAAAAAAAATGGAAACGTTACCAATGATGCTAACATCCATCTCCTCACCCTGTTCTGATTCTCTCCCCAACAGTAGGGAATCAACTGCTGCTATTTGGTATGTGCCCTCCCGGAGCTTTTTCTGTGCTTTTCTTTTACCATGCATAGAAATGGAGTCCTGGTGTGGTGCTGTAGGATAAGCATTGGACTGCTAACTGCAAGGTCAGCAGTTCAAACCCACCAGCCACTCTTCAGAACCCCTATACATGGTTGCTCTGAGTCAGAACTGACTCGAAGGCACTTAACAACATTGACAGAAAACACTTTTGTGTGTGTTTCTTTTATGTACATGTGATTTCACAACTTGCTTTTTTTCTTCTCAACAATGTTTTAGAGATCTAGCCATATTATTAAAATATAACTCGAGCTTATTATTCCTTTTAATTGTTGTGTAGTTTTTGATACTCTGAGTATCTTAAGTTTTATTGAGCTTTGAAATATGTTATAATATTTTAATGTAAAAAACCACCAACAAATTATTCTCCAACATTACCTTAAGTCAGTGTCACAAATAAGTATTAGTTTTAAAGGGATTTGAATAGTACTTTTTATATGTAGCATCTTAAAAGTCATTGAGTTTTACAGCAAAAAATAAAAAAAGGATTTTAGAGACCTCTCATTCTAAGTCGCATTTTATAGAAATTAAATTTGAAATCCAGATAGCAGAAGAGACAGGCCCCGACTCACACAGATAATAGAACTAACAACCTAGTTGCTGACTTGTAGCCCTAATTGATCTCTCCTGGAGAAATCTGAGTCATCTGCAATAGCCTCTGGGATTCTACATGGAAGCTTTATGTAAATTAGTGCAGAGTTTTAGATGTATGAATTTTCTTTTGGTTTCAAATTAACTTAAAGAAAAACAAACAAATCAGAACCTATTGACCCACAAAACTGAAAGTTCAGGATGGGTTCAGACACAGCTGTTTCCAGGGACTTGAGCTGTAAGGATAAATTATCCTAAATAGTTTATCTCCTTTTCTTCACCTGTCAGCGCTGCTTTCCTCTGTTAGATCCATTCTTAGTCTAGCTTATTCCTGTGGTGGCAAGATGGTTATTAAGAGTTCTAGGTTTACTTCTTGGAACTCCTATAGGAAAGAGGCCCTTTCTGTAGTAATTTCAACAAAAGTCATGGAATTCTGTCTCAGGGACAATGAATGGCCTTATTTGGGTCACACGTCTAGACCCAAACCAATTCTCGTGAACTGGAGCATGTGATTGGCCAAGCCTGTGTTACAAGGTCTCTTTCCTAATACCATCCTACCCAAACCACATCAGAGAACTAGGAGGAGACCTCCCTGTGGACGTGTTGTTGCGCTGTAGGATAAGCACTGGACCACAGTTTGGCAATTCAAAAGAAACCGTATGCAGAGTCACTGTGAGTGGGAACACTGAACAGCAACATGGCCATAGAGGTAGTTGTGACACATGCATGGCAACCTCATGTGTACAGAGGAGCAGTGAGCTCCATAGAGCTTTCTTGACTATAACCTTTCACAAACAGATCCCCAGGCCTTTACAGGCACCACTGAGTGAGTTTGAACTCAAACCTTTTAGTGAAGCTGTTGTTATTAAGTGTCAATTCAGTTCAAACTCATAGCCAGCCTGTATAGGATTTCCAAGGAGCAGCTGGTGGGACCTTTTGGTTAGCAGTCCAGTGCTTATCTTGCTGAGTCACACCAGGACTCCTTTAGTTAAATACTTGAGTGCAGACCCTTTCTGCCACCCAGAGGCAAAGCATGAATTGCTAGGACAGTCACTGTGTAAACTGTGTGAAAAGGAAAGCCAGCAACATCCTAGTTTCATTGTGCCCTCTGTGAATAGACAAAGAGATTCATCAGTGATTTCTTTTTGATTAATAATGAAAAAACAGAAGTTTATATACTTTCCAGAGATCTATTTGAATATTGATTCAAATTGTAAATCAGCCATTTCTAATTCAGAATTTTAGAGGTTAAAATTTACTTTGACAAGACACAACTGCAGTCTCAGACATGAATGTCCTATAAGACTTCCTTTTTCAAAATACATTTGCAAGGACAGTTTTGTGATCAGGATCCTGTCTGCTTTCCTTTTTGGAGCTACAAGTGAAGGTAAAACATTTTCCTCATAACTTCAGAGTATCCTTTTACTAGCAGTAAAACGTATTTTTGTGTATTTCAAAACCAACCATTTATATTATATTACTTAGCACTGAGAAAAGAAAAGGCAGAGCCTAGAGATTCAAAACTTAAGTCAAAAACTTAAGGAAAACAACATAATAAGATTTTTAATAGCTGGTATATGGAACATATATTGTTTTGCATCTCAAAAACCATGGGGAAATTACTTTGGTTCCTTCTTTTGGCAGGATTACTAGCTGGATGGGCATATTTTTATTTCAAGACTTTTGGTAGATTCTATTATGATTTTTTTTGGTGGAAATGATGGAGCAATGTGAATTTAACAGATAAAAGGTTAGGTGGATTCTTGTTTGGAAAGCAGCTCTACTGCCAAAGCATTTTTGTTAATTAACTGATTTGATATCTACCTGGAGGGGGTACTCTAAGGACAAGTTATGGAGTTCTGTACCTGACCATATTTAGTTCAGTATTTCTATAAATTTACTTAAATTACTGAAAAGTAAAATTCAGTAACATAGTAAACTTTTGTAAAAGACAAAATCTAGAAATTGTCATCCAAGAGTGATCCCAGTCCTGGTCAGACTGTATCTGGGGTTTTGTGTCCAGTTTGAGTGGTTATTTACCAATCAGCCTTCCAACCAGCAAGCCCAAAGTGAAAAACAAATGAGGAACATAAGTGATAAGTAAGGAGAATCGAGAGGAAAGCAAGCAGATTTGTAGATACAGTATTAATGACGAAGGCTTTAGGAATAGAGGAATGCCATTCATCCTGGTTGGATAGCTGCCTTTACACTTGCAGTCTCAGGTAGATGGAAGGGCAGAATTATTCTGTGATGTCCTAGAGTAACATCACTCCAATTTAGTTTATCAGCTGTTTTTCTCTTGCGTAACACCTACTAATATTCTGTTGTTGTGTGTTGCCAAATCAATACCAACTCCTAATGACCCTGTCTGACAGAGTAGAACTGCCTCATAGTGTGTCCCAGGCTATCGTCTTTTTACAGAAGCAGATCTCTTGGTCTTTCACCTGTTGAGTCAGTGGGTGGATTCAAACTACTATTCTTTTAGTTATCAGACAATCTCTTAACCATTGTGCTATTCTATGGGACACCTTTTGATAAACATCACTCTAGCATGAGGTATTATGATGTCATTTGGGGCAGAGTTGTTTCAAAGGAGCAGATTAAGTGTAATAACATACAGCTTATTTCAGAAAAAGATTGTTGATTGAGGTGAAAACATCACCTCAGTTTTAAGTTGCCCACTATTCTTCTGCATTACAATTTTTGTCATCAGTTGGTAAAGTGGAAGGAATTAATCTAATTTTTTATTCATTCCACTCCTCCCAAAATAAATTGGGAAAAGGTCTTGTTTGGGTACATGCATATTAAACATAGAGCTAGGAAAAATTAAAAGAAATTTGGAATGTTTGAGAATGAATAATCCATGTGGGTTTTTTTTTTTTTTTTTTTTAAATAGGTTCATCTAGTGACTGAAGAAGAGGAATCAGCTAATATATATGCAATTCATCAGGTAAATTTGCTTAAAAATTAGTTTCACTTTTATAAATCTAAGTGCAGACATTTGCCCCCAAAATAAAAAAGGTTGACAAGTCTCTTTTTGGAGTCCTGATGTGGGGCTGTGGTCTAATGCGCTGGACTGCAAAGTCATTTGAACCACAAGGTCAGTGGATCAAGGTCACCAGCCACTCCTTGGAAACCCTATACAGGGTCACTATGGTCGGACACGACTCGACAGCACTTAACAACAACAAAGTCCCTTTTTTAGTTAATTTTAAATTAAGGTAATTTAAATAGATTTTGATAAATGTATGCAGTTGTGTGACTACCACAAAAGTTGACTTAGAACAATAGTTTCTTTGTAGCTGACCCTCTCTTTAAATCTCCAGCCTCTGGCAACCACCGATTGATTCATATACAAGGGGGCTCCAAATAGTTCATGTAAAAATGGGATTAAATGATAGGGACGTTTCGAAGCCACTTGTGCCTTTGAAAGAATGTCATATAAATGGAATCTTACAGTACATAACCTTTTGTGTCTGCCTTCTGTTTCTTAGCATAATGAGTTTCAGATTCATCCATGTTTTTCACCTTGTTTCTTTTTCTGACTCCTTTGTTGTACTGGCCAAGTATAAGTGTTTAGTAGTCAAAAGCAGAGGACTAAAACCCTGCATAAACCAGTGTTCACTTCTAACAAGCAGCTAAGAAAGTAGACATTGTATTTGTTGCTATATGTTTGCTTTCTTATTTTTAAATAAGGAAGAAGAATTTTAAATTCTCAACCAGTATACCGATTATGTGAGTGAGCAGTAAGTTTTTAGGAAGGATGTGTATCCTTTGTGTTACAGAGGAAATACGCCTTTAGTATTGCATGGTTGTGTAAAGATTGAGTCTTTGTTGACTTATTAAATGTACCTACACTTCTTGATCTGTCTCTTCTGTATTAACAGTGGTTTATCTAGTAATATTTTAATTGTTTACCTTGATTATTGTGACAGTCCTTGATTATAATTTACTTCTTTGCTGTGCCAGGCAGCATTAAACGTATCATAGTATATTATTCAATAGCATGTTTTAGGGAGATTGTAATATTTAGATTCTGACACTGATTTTACAGATACAGGCCCAAGCCATAAAAGTAAACACAAAATAAGATTATGTGTCTTTCTGGAGGCTGTTGTATATACATATTTATTTTTTATTTATTTACTTCCCTTTCACAGGTGCTTCTTCCAGTACTTGGATACAATATTCAGTACCCAAAGAACAAAGTAGGGCAATGGTACCATGAAATACTTAGCAGAGATGGACTACAGACTTGTAGGTTTAAAATACCTGCTCTGAAATTGAATGCTCCAGGATGCTATAGACAGATATTGAAACATCCTCATAATCTCTCATACCAGCTAATAGAAGAACACGGTACTGATGCCAAAACAGAAGGTTCTAGTATCAGTGAAGCAGCTTTATCTCTTTTGATCTCTTTTGATCTTGACTCTTCATGTTATGCTACAGTTTGTTTGAGGGAAATGATGAAGCATGATGTTTAAAATCAATGCCCTTGGTATAATTAGCTGTATATATGTTGCTCTTGAAAGGGAACTAAAATTTCTGGACTATCTACAATGCACTAGAGGCTTTATCTCCTTCACAATATTTTGATGTATTAGTAACTTGATGCTGTACCATTCCAGAGAAGCATAGCTAGTAAGTGGTATTGTCTGAATCTAAGCCCAGATCTACCTGATACTAAAGGCTATGTTCTTTCTGTTGTATTATGTTTAGTGACCTTTACTCTGTGTCAAAGCTACAATATTTTTGGAACATTAATAGCACACAATCTTCTAAGATAATGATTAAGAAAGAAAAAGAGCTTAAGTAATGATTATATCCTCCAGATTCTTGCTTAAAATGTAAATGAAATTAAATTACAATAAAAGTGCATGGTTGGAGAAAAACACAGATGAAACATACTGCTATTTATAATTGTCTTCCTTATATTTGAAATCACTGATCAGAAAAATATACAAGGGAAATATCCCAGTGTTAATGATAGCTACCCCAGATGGTCATTCTACCCCTTAATGAGATAAATAATATTTTTTTAAAATAAGATTTTATTGTGAATTGAATGATAGTTTACATGGGAGAACATCGGTTTTACACATCATTTCATTGCAATGATTACAGTCTCCTCCATCCATTATCATTCAACAGTTGTTGTGTTGTTATGTGCCGTGGAGTCGGTCCCGACTCACAGCAACCCTGTACAGGGTTTCCGAGGCTGTAAATCTTTACGGGAGCAGAAAGCCTCATCTTTCTCCCGCGGCACAGCTGGTAGTTTCGAACTGCTGAATTATGTGGTTTGCAGCCCAATTTGTAACCACTATGCTAACAGTATTTGCCTCTATTTCCTCTGGTTTTTTTTTTGCTTTTGGGGCATGTACACAAAAACACTTTAGTAATATAAAATCATTTAAGCAACCAAAGGTCACATTCTGCAAGCCTGCCTCCTGGCTGCCAGCATACAACCTTTTTCTTTCCATGAGTCTAGAGTCTTCAGCTGCTCTATGTTCTTATCTCTGCCTCCATCTCTGGTGTTGCTGATTCTTTAAATAGGATTCCACTCTCTGCTCATGATCTTCTGCCTTGATGGTCCTAGGGTCCTCTGTTCCTGGAATGTAAGATTAACTACTTCCTCCCTTTTGTTACAAAATTTCTACCTTTACAGTTATGACAGTAAGAATTAGTCATGATAACAGTTACTCACTATTGAGTCATAAGAATATTATCCCCATCTGCTTTCACCAAACTCATCTACACAAGATGAAAACTATTCAGTGGGGATTCTACCTTCCCCTACACATTCTGAAACTAAACTTGAAAACTTGTAAGCCAGTCATTTCGTGCCTTTATAATCCCCCCATTTTAGGTAGCCAATGTCTAAGTTGCCTATAACTATCAACCCTGTATACAGAGGGGATAGGATTGATACTTGATGTGAAGACTCCTTCCCTTTCAGTTGTTATGTTGAGCTACTACATCCAAAAGTATAGGTCAAATTCATCAAATTGTAGCAGAGATTAATCTTTGATAAAGATGTTAATCAGTTTCTTTATATAATTCCCATACCTTGATATACATTGACCTTCTTGACTATTTTTTTCTAGTATTTCAAAACAGGTTTTAAGGAGCTCTGGCAGTGTAGTGGTTACAAGTTGGGCTGCCAGTCTCAAGGTTAGCAGTTTGAAAGTACCAGTGGTTTTGTGGGAGAAAGATGAGGCTTTCTGCTCCCTTAGAGATTTACAACCTCAGAAACTCTATACAGGTCGCTATGAGTGGGAACCAACTCCATGGCACATCACCACCACCACCAAATACATATTTCAGAATCAGACAGATAAGGGCTCAGACTTCACTTCTAACACTTGCTAGTGACTTTTGGTAGGTTACTGATTCTTTTTAAGGCTTACCTATGTTGTTTTTGTTGTTAAGTGCTGTCGAGTTGGCTCTGACTCATAGCAACCCTGTATAGGGTTTCCAAGGAGCTACTGATAGATTTGATCTGCTGACCCTGTGGTTCATAGTCCAATGCTGATCCTACAGCACCATACCAGGAGTTCTAAGGCTCACCTATAGAACCAAGAAAATACCAACCTCATAGGCAACAAATAACAGGATTATTGCCACCGTTTATATTGTTAGAAGGAGAATGTATGTCATTCATTCATTTGTAGGATCAATTTTAATTTGATTTGGCTTAACTATGTCACATCATAAATGATTACTCTTAAACCATTTTATACTAGTTAAATTTGAAGGCAAAAAAAGACTGGTAAGTATTTATTGGGAATTTCTGAGCATTCTTTCATTGCTGGTGTTGTTGTTGTTGTCAGGTGCCATCGAGTCGGAACCGACTCATAGCAACCCCATGCACAGCAGAACGAAACAATGTCCGATCCTGGGCCAACCTCACTACCGCTGCCACACTTGAGTCCATCAATGATGCCACCTGGCTGATCCATCTCGTTGGGGGTCTTCCTCTTTTTCTCTGACCCTCCACCCTACCCAGCATGACATCATTGCTGGTAACATTATATAATGAGAAAATTTAAAAGCCCCCCCCCAACCCACACATATACACAGTGACCCTGTATAGAGTTTCTGAGATGCATCTGTTGGGTTTGAACCACCCACCTTGTGGTTAGCAGTTCAGTGCTTATCCTACAGAACCACATTGTTGTTACATGCCACATTAGGACTCCATATATATGTATATTTAGGTAACTATTAGGGAGCATGATGGCGCCATACAATAAACACTGGACCACGAACCACAAGGTCTGCAGTTCGAGCCCACCAGCCACTCTTATGAAGATTTAAAGCCTCAGAAATCCTGTACAGGGTCACTATGAGTTGGAACCAACTCAACAGCACTTAACAACAACAATAACCCCCAAGTGATTGTTCTGACATATATTTTATATCTATAATGTATATATTTGTATATATCACAATATGTAATATATATAACGTCCTGGTGTGGCACTGTGGGTTAATGCATTGGACTGCAAAGTTGGTTTGAATGGCAGTTCAAGCTCACCAGCCACTCCTTGGAAACCCTATAAGGGTTACTATGGGTCAGAACCGACTTGATGGTACTTAATAACAACAAACATATATATGTTATATACGTGTGCTATATATAATATATATATAATATTTAAGTCAGTACAATGATTAAATATTTTATATTTTAGTCCAAATTAAATATTATATATATATGTTATATTTAAGTCAACCCAATCATTTTGTGGTTATTAATGCAAGGGAAAAAATTCAAAGGAGAAACGCTATATGCAATGCAATATTTGCTTATTGTATCATTTTTAATATATAATGAGAGAAATTAGAAATTATTTCCAAGGCCAGCATTAGATAATTTAAAGTAAAATTTGCCTTATCAACTTGATGGAACAACTTGCAGCTATTAAAAATTTTAATTATGTGAGAAAATGCCTCTACCTCCACCCCCAGATAAGAATAATGCTCTGTAGAATAAAGTTTTCAAACCACAAGGTTCACAGTTTGGGCCCCCCAGCCACTTCATGGGAGCAAAGGAGGCTTTCTGCTCCCTTAAAGATTTAAAGCCTTGGAAACCTGTTAGAGGGTCGCTATGAGTTGGAACTGACTGAATAGCAACAGCAATGTATACATTTGTGGGTGCACAGTGGCTCTTTAGGATAAGCACTGGACTATGAACTTCAGAGCTAGCGGTTCAAGCCCAATAGCTGCTCTGTGAGAGAAAGAGGAGGCTTTCTTCTGCTAAGATTTCCAATGTCAAAACCCCTATAAAGGGCAGAACCTACTACGACACAGCAACAACAAAAATCTTGATGGGTGTTAAGATTTTTCTAAATATTAAAGAAATACTTTTTTACCATTATGTATATTTAGCAATAGATAAGTCCTATATACCTTGTGTTGCAGCATGGTGGCTTGTAGGATGAACAATGTACTATGAACCGCAGAGTTGACTGTTCAAGCACACCAACTGCTCCATGGGAGAACGATGAGACATTCTGCTTCTACAAAAATCTAAAACCTCAGAAATCCTATACAGGGTCACTATGAGTTAACCTCCTCTATACCACTTAACAGCAACAACAACATGCTACTATATACAGGGGGCTTCAGAAAGTTCCATTATCTTTAATTACACTTCTCTCTCTCATATACTTACACACACACATATGAAGGGGCTTCAAAAAGTTTGTGAAAAAATGGAATTTTTCCATGAACTTTTAAAAGTTCCTTTATATTGCAAATATAGCATATACACTGAATGCAGCTTTTATAAATACGATTCAGCATAATGATTAAAAGTATGAATGTTGAAGACATACTAGCTCAGTTTGAGCCCTGACTCCCCCAATTATATCAGTGGATTCAACTCCATGGCACATAACAACAAACAACTAGTATTTAAACTTTGTGTGCTTCCATTTCAGCATCTATAAAATGAAGTGGGGAGTCCTGGTGTGGAGCTATAGCATAAACACTCGAGCAAAAGGTCAGTTTGAACCACAAGGTCGGCAGTTCAAATTCACCAGCCACTCTTCAGAAACAACAACAAAATGAAGGGGTAATATTACCTAACTCAGGAGTATTGTGAGGATTTGATGAGTTAACATAAGTAAAGAAGCTGAGAAACTTTATTGTTGTTAAGTGCTGTTGAGTCAGTTCCAACTCATAGCGACCCTGTAAAGGGTTTCTGAGGAATGGCTGATGAACTTGAACTGCCAAGCTTGTGGTTCAAACCAACTTTGCAGTCCGGCGTGTAAACCCACAGTACCACACCAGGACTCCAGAAAAATGTATGGTACTTATTGTTAAGTGTTGGCAGATGAGAAGTTTGGAAGACAACAGAAAAGAAATGGAAATGCTGTTCTGTTAAGATGATGGGTGTTAAGATTTTTCTAAATATTAAAGAAATACTTTTTTACCATTATGTATATTTAGCAATAGATAAGTCTCTGGATACAAAAAG